TCTTAGGCAAAAGATTTCCTTGGATAAAAATTGCATTTTCCCTTCCATTCTGGTCCATTTGGTAATTGTCACTCATGCCCTCCGCACTCACCATTATGCCTCTTTTCTCACTCTGGGATCCTTAGTAATTCTTACTGTGTAGGGCTGCACCTGAGGTTACCTGCCCAGCGCACTGTGCTCCTCACTCACCATCAACATCCACTGCTGGCTTTCAGTTACACCAAAATCTAAGACCCTTGCCCCTGCAAGTTTCTGTTCTCTGAAGCTAATGATGTGGATGGAAAAGAAATCCATGCTCAAATATTCATGAATGATGATGGGCTCATGAGTTGTCCATCTAGTTACGACATCGCATACCAATAAGGATCCTCTGGGGAAGGTGTGTTTTCTAATCCAAGAAAAAGCAGTCTAATCAGGTACACTTAAAAAAAAAGTGTCCCATGGTCCATCACATTTGGAAAATGCTGCCTATTCACATCCATTATTGGAGATTCCTAGCGCTTCGTAATTTTCCCAAGCACAGGTTAAGTTCTACAGTGAAGGCAAATGTTTAAACCTGAGAGTTCCCCAAATTTATGGATGTTAATGAACCTGCCTGTGAGTATGGTTTTTTTTTCTTCTTACTATAACACCTATTAGTGCTCCTTGGAGAACACACTTGGAGATATACTTCCTTAATCCAAAGTAGTGATTTGTCTGATGGTGTGAATTTCAGATTAAGGGGGTGGTACCTTGGGTAAGCATTTTGGAATTAAAGAGTCTTTCAATGCTTCTAAAGTCACAGTGTGTGACTAGTTGGCTCTCGATCTATGAATAGTTGATTTTCTTTTCTATTTTACTTTAATAGATGATCAGTTTTAGTTTTCTAATAGTCAAGACAGAGAAACAACATAAATGTCCACTAATGGATGAATGGATGGAGAAAATGTGAGATTTCATATATATATGATGGAATTTTACTCAACCATAAAAAAGAAGGAAGTCTTGCTACTTGTAACAACACAGATGGACCTGGAAGGCATTATTCTAAGTGAAATGAGAAAGGCAAATACTATATGATCTCATTTATATGTGGAATCCAAAATCGAAAAGAAAAACAAAAAATTCCGCAAAATCCGAGCTCCTATGTACAGAGACTAGGTTTGTGGGCAAAATGGGTGAAGGAGGTCAAAATGTACAAGTTTTTAGTTATAAAATAAATAAGTCCTAGAAGTGTAATGTGCAGCATGGTACTGTAGTTAATAATACTGTATCGCATATTTGAAAGTGGCTAAGAGAGTAGATCTTAAAAGATCTGATCACAAGAAAAAATTTCTTTGAAGCTACATGTGGTGAGGGAGATTAACCAGCCTTATTGTGGGGAGCATTTCACAATATGTGCAAATATCAAATCATAACATTGTATGACTGATATAATGTTGCCTGTCAGTTAGACCTCAATAAAGAAGAAAATAATAGCTTTTACATAGTTGCTGTTCTCCACCCACCTCATACATTTGCTGAAATTAAGCTTGTACTTGTTCCTATTACTTTTTTATATTTTAAATTATTTTTTTTGCTTCTCTCTCTTTTTAATTCTCTTCATGAGAACCAAGAATATTCTTGGTATCCTGTTTTCCAATAGAATGTACGAGCTTCTTTCCTTTATATATTTTCTCAAGGAGTATACTAGATGACTGTGTCAGTCATTTGGGTGCTTGTTAAAGTGAAGATTTCTGGACACTTCCATACTTCTCCTGTATCTGTGTTTCTGGGAGTATGGCCTCCAGTACTGAATTTACAGGAAATTCTTACACATATCGAAGTTTGAGATACTTTGCAACCCACAAGGAGCCTATTTTCTAGATAGCAGAGAATGAATTGAGTATCGCAGTCCCCGTTTATCCACGGGGGACGCATTCCTAGACCTCCATTGGATGCCTGAAACCTCAGGGAGCACTGAACCCTATATATACTGTTTTCCCTATACATATATACCTATGATAAAGTTTAACTTATAAACACAGTAAGAGATTAACAACAATAACCAATAATAAAGTAGAGTAATCATGCATGACAGTATACTGTAATCAGAGTTATATGAATGTGATATCTCTCTCTCTCTCTCTCTCTCTCTCACTCACTCACTCACTCACTCACTCTTATAACCGAGATGGCTGCTATGCCACTAACACACCAGGATCATCTATAGTGTGGAGACGTGGGACAAAGGGATGATTCAGGTCCCGGGCTGTTCGGAGTGAGATAGCTCGAGATTTCATCACATTACTCAGAATGTCACACAATGTAAAACTTATGAATTGTTTATTTGGGGGATTTTCCATTTAATATTTTCAGACTGTGGTGGAATGCAAGTAATTGAAACCGGGAAAAGTATGGATAAAGTGGGTGACCATGGTTAAGAGTATAAATATGCATTATACAGTCAAGTCCATGCATTTTTTTTTTTCTGAAAAATCGGGACCTCTGATCACTTTGAAGTGAGTCTACACACAGCCCCTTTTTGAGTAAAAAAGCATGTTTTTGGTTTTTTTTTTTTTTTTGAGAAGGTATGAAATGTAGGCAAGGGATAGATGTAGCAAGACCTGACCATTGTGTCATCTCATCCTGTCGTTTACCTGGGTTTTAGGTCCCTCATACATAACTTGAGATTGTTGAGTAAAACAATCTCTAAATTCCCTGTGAACATTAATAAATAACATATCATTCTTTTACTCCAGGCAAACATAAGGTTGAGTCAAAGGCTAAAATGGAAATGAAGCCAGAAGTTCTCTTAAACAACAAATGCTAAAGAGGTATGCCATTTTACAGCCAAGTTTCTTCCTATATTTTTAAAAAATAATGTAACAATATTATATAACTATTATATAGCATCGGAAAAGAATAAAATATAGCTACACACATCAAGTCGGATGCATCTCAGAAAATAATATCGAGTGAAAAAATCAAATTGCAGAAGAATCCAGACAGCGATTCCATTTATATCGGCTCGAAACACTTAATACTAAACTACGGATTGAAGTTGTATACATATGCACCAAACTACAAAGAAAAGCGAGGGAATGATAACCCAAAATTCAGCGTAGTGGTTTTCTCCAGGAAGAAGCCATATGACATCACAGAGTGGCACATGGGTCTTCAAAGGTACCCAAAACACTCTATTTTGTATCCAGGGTGGTGGCTGCATGGTTGTCAATTTTGTTGCAATTCATCATACCTTATACACATGGCATAATTATATCCAATCAGTTTTTGGTAAAAACGATGGCCAAAAGTCGAGAACGTGCATATCTCGATACAGAATAAATTTTTCTACTATATCGTTGTGCATTTCCCCACTCTTTCTCTATTTCTTTACAGACTTCCGTGTTTAAGTAAATAGATGTTTTATGAGAAACACGAAACAGAACCTTGTGCTTTGGTAGTTCTTCATAGAAAAACAAAATAGCATCAACAACACAAGGTAAGAGAACATCAACAAATATGTAACAGGTACCTTTGCTACAGTAAACCGGGACTGTGTAAACACGGACTGTGTGATGCATGCTTCTCTGCAAACAGAGTGAAGCGGTGCCAGGTTTCCAAAGCGTCATTAGCTCCTCGCATTTAAGTAACACAGATTTCCTTTTATTCACAGCTATTAGAGATCAGGGCTCGCTCTTCCCCGTCCCCTTCACCACAGAGGCAGTCATTCCTTTTTAAACATCATTGTCCAGGCTCTGCTTTTCTTCCGGAGAACACCATGTTGTGTGACTGTTGAGTCTGGATTTCTCGGCCATACTCTTGAACCCAGGAGACTCTCACTAGCAGATAGGTGACTTTTGAGACTTCAGAAAGTGTTCAATGAGTCATCACGATCCTTTACTGCAGATGGCCAGGCTTCTCAGCTCCTACGACATAAAATATCGTGAGGTAGGGAAAACAGTAGTGAGGTCTAAGATTTTAGAACTTGTAAACTTTCCCTCGAGTCTAAACGTCATCAGCAATGGCCACCATGTTCCCCAACATACAAACACACTCTATCTCACTGCAGCCTTCACCAGATCCCAGCCATAGTTCAGATCCTGGAGGTCATGGAGCTGTGTGTGTGTGTGTGTGTGTGTGTGTGTGGTATCAGCTCCCTTAAGCACCTATGTACCTTCTCTATCTCCCAGATTATGTAAAAAGAAACTAATCTCATATCTTATGTGAGAAGCTAGTTCAAGAATTTTACTTCCCAGATATTCAGCATATAATTCTGGTCATAATTAAAAATATAGTTAGAAAATAGAAATAATTTACTCACTTGGTTTCGAGGCATGCACAATATTTGGGGTC